AATACTCACTCAGTGTGATATACAGTAACAGTATTAATACTCACTCAGTGTGATTATATAGTAACAGCACTAATACTCACTCAGTGTGATATATAGTAACAGCACTAAAACTCACTCAGTGTGATATATAGTAACAGTATTAATACTCACTCAGTGTGATATATAGTAACAGTATTAATACTCACTCAGTGTGATATATAGTAACAGCACTAATACTCACTCAGTGTGATATAGTAGTAACACTCACACTAATACTCACTCAGTGTGATATATAGTAACAGTATTAATACTCACTCAGTGTGATATATAGTAACAGTATTATACTCACTCAGTGTGATATATAGTAACAGTATTAATACTCACTCAGTGTGATATATAGTAACAGTACTAATACTCACTCAGTGTGATATATAGTAACAGTACTGGTACTCACTCAGTGTGGTATATAGTAACAGTACTGGTACTCACTCAGTATGATATATAGTAACAGTACTAATACTCACTCAGTGTGATATATAGTAACAGTACTGGTACTCACTCAGTGTGGTATATAGTAACAGTACTGGTACTCACTCAGTGTGGTATATAGTAACAGTACTAATACTCACTCAGTGTGATATATAGTAACAGTACTGGTACTCACTCAGTGTGGTATATAGTAACAGCACTAATACTCACTCAGTGTGATATATAGTAACAGCACTAATACTCACTCAGTGTGATATATAGTAGCAGTACTGGTACTCAGTCAGTGTGATTATATAATAACAGTACTAATACTCACTCAGTGTGATTATATAGTAACAGCACTAATACTCACTCAGTGTGATTATATAGTAACAGTACTAATACTCACTCAGTGTGATGTATAGTAACAGTACTAATACTCACTCAGTGTGATATATAGTAACAGTACTAATACTCACTCAGTGTGATATATAGTAACAGTACTAATACTCACTCAGTGTGATATATAGTAACAGTACTAATACTCACTCAGTGTGATATATAGTAACAGTACTAATACTCACTCAGTGTGGTATATAGTAACAGTACTGGTACTCATTCAGTGTGGTATATAGTAACAGTACTAATACTCACTCAGTGTGATATATAGTAACAGCACTAATACTCACTCAGTGTGATTATATAGTAACAGTACTAATACTCACTCAGTGTGATGTATAGTAACAGTACTGGTACTCACTCAGTGTGGTATATAGTAACAGTACTAATACTCACTCAGTGTGATATATAGTAACAGTACTGGTACTCACTCAGTGTGGTATATAGTAACAGTACTAATACTCACTCAGTGTGATATATAGTAACAGTACTGGTACTCACTCAGTGTGGTATATAGTAACAGTACTAAGACTCACTCAGTGTGATATATAGTAACTGTACTAATACTCACTCAGTGTGATGTATAGTAACAGTACTGGTACTCACTCAGTGTGGTATATAGTAACAGTACTAATACTCACTCAGTGTGATATATAGTAACAGTACTAATACTCACTCAGTGTGATATATAGTAACAGTACTCGTACTCACTCAGTGTGGTATATAGTAACAGTACTAATACTCACTCAGTGTGATATATAGTAACAGTGCTGGTACTCACTCAGTGTGATGTATAGTAACAGTACTAATACTCACTCAGTGTGATATATAGTAACAGTACTAATACTCACTCAGTGTGATATATAGTAACAGCACTAATACTCACTCAGTGTGATTATATAGTAACAGTACTAATACTCACTCAGTGTGATGTATAGTAACAGTACTAATACTCACTCAGTGTGATATATAGTAACAGTACTAATACTCACTCAGTGCGATATATAGTAACAGTACTGGTACTCAGTGTAACAGTACTGGAAGAGACAGACTCTCACTTCCTCCCAGCATTGGCGTTATTACAGGGGCACGGTTGTGCTGTTAAAGGGTTTCTGCACCAGATCAAGCCCCTGTTGTGAAATACCATTGGGAGGCCTATGCACTTAGGTTGTTCCGCTGTGAATTATATGTTATTATTCTGATATTAGCTATTGGTAATTTTGGTGAGAAAGCAGCCAATCTGACCGAATTTGCACCAGTCAGATGCGATGTTCGGGTTTCAGAACTAAATGCATCCGACAGGATTAACGTCTGCAAATTCTCATTCACTTGTTTATTGCAATTAATCAACAGAATCATCCCAGACAATTCCATATAATGGCCATTCTGTGGGCATGTGATGCCAGATCACAGCTCATTAGATACAATGCTCTCATTGACTAGATACACAGCTAACTCAGAGGATCTATCCAGAGAAGTAATGACTAGTGAAGTATCTCTATAGAACCCCCTAGTCCATTAGCATCTTGTTAACCAAGCCAGCTTCATCTTTTCCCTTAATAAAAATCCCTTAGATCTAATGTACAGATACCATAAATAGCCTGTATTAGATTACTGAGCAGCAGAACTCCATTCTGTGACCATTTCCTGGCCCCTCTGTCGCCCAGTCTGATTATTACGCTATAAAACTGCATTACTGTTCTCTCCAGAAAGTAATCCATTAACTTGATGGGGCTGATCTGAAAAAGGAAGACTGCTGGGTTCAGCCTCAGATGCTTTTCATTCACTGGTTTGATGAATTAAGTTATTTTTTCCAGCCTGATGCTAGAATATAAAAATAACCAATCTTTGCTGGCCGACAAAGAATCGATAGGTCTGCAAGAGAAATGTCAGCGATATTGACCATGCACAGAGGATAAATGAGCAAGGAATGGACCTCTGCAACAGTGTACTTGGCCTCGCTCTACAAGATAGATGTGTCAAACAAGTTGTTAAGTCGAGATTTATCTACAGAGCCCCTTTCATATATGGATCTTTAACAAGTTTCAGTTGAAAAGTCTTCTGCAGATTCGCGCATCCATTCAAGAAACATCTCTGAATGTGTAGATAGGAAAATGATGTGAGATAAACATTGTATCATCAGTCAATCATCTCATTAATATCTGTATGAAATTCGCCAGGATTCTTCACTTAAGAGCGAATGGCCCTCGTACAGAATGGGGTAAAAGCATCAGGACTGTACTATCCAGACATTGTTTAATTTAACAACGTCTGGAGTTTGCAAAGAAGCTTCCAAATGACTCTCACTCTGTGGGTCCAGATTTCAGGAAGACAGAATGCTGCTGGACAACAGATATCTGGACCTATTTGTCCGCTGGCAGCAATAGCAACCAGCAGTATATAGTTAAATAACCCGTGGCAAGGTTAACCATGAGGTGATGAGCAGGCACTTAATAGACAGCTTCCGCGTTTAACAATGTGAAAAGAATAAACTATAGAAAGTCCTATGGGGGGTCAGTATGACCACCATATTAAGGGAGGCAGGTGGGGGCATATCTACTAAGCATTAAGAACTAGCAACTGTGCAGCCATTGAGGATGGGAGCTGTATATTAACATAGGGGACCTAGTCCCAATCCCCCAAGCCACCACCGATCTGGACAGAATTATCCCGCAACAGTATCAATTTGTACACAGGTTGCTGAATTCTGAAAGGGGATTTAAAACAGGATGTCATGAACTTTGAGCAATGTGCTAAAACAAAGAACCACAGAGATGATTGCAGCATCCTCGGCCTACCTATCGAGAGATCAGAGAGTTTAGGGCAATGAGCTGCGATTGGCAGTTGTACCATTTGTAACTCTGGTTAGGAACTGAGCATCTAATTTTGGGAATAGAGTTAACTATGTGAGACTTTTCTCTGATATACCAAAAGTCAAGCAATTTCTGTACAGGTTTGGTTTTTAAAATAAAAATTGAAGGCTAAAAATGATTTTATTATTAACACATTTTTTCATTACAGAGACATTGATATGTCATAAAGAACCATAAATACTGCAAAATATTTCTAGGGAAGAAAAGCAGATCTTTTTATAGGGAGAGGGACACTGCAGCATTAGGAATACAGTTGTGTATTTCTAACTCTATAGTGAAACCCGTGCTCTGTGTATTCCATGTGATACTCTAGCTGTAGTTATGAAGTGTTTTTGCACTGATTTAACCAAAGCAGCTCCAGCTTAGAGTAGTAGTGTTGGTGTATAGAGGATGCCCCTGCAGTCTCACTGCTCGATTCTCTGCTATTTAGGAGTTAAATCACTTTGTTTCTGTTTATGCAGCCCTAGCTACACCTCCCCCTTAACCATGAAGGTATTTAAGTAACCCTTTCAACACGTACCTGATTCCAGCAGCAAGGTCCCCCGGCGCTGGATTGGACACCTCCTCCTCAGATGGCAGCTGAGTGTGAGGACATGATGCGCATGTGTGGCGAGTGCCCTGCGCACATTAGGCCTTCCTATGGTAAGGCACTGATTCTTTCCTATCCTTAGGGGACTTAGAAGATGCTGGACGTCCTCATGCAATGTGTGAGTACATCAAGCCTCGTTTCACAAAGTAATACTTTGTTTCTGATAGACTGCCACTGAAAAGACAATGTTTTACATTGCAGGGCTAAGGGGACAGGGTCACTGCACCCAGACCACTTCAATGAAATGAAATGGTCCAGGTGCCTATAGTGTCTCTTTAACTTGCATAAGATATGTTTAATGCCTGCTCTGTAAATTAAACTTTAATCACATACAGGAGGCTCCTGCAGGGTCTAGCAGGCTAACACAGCTGGAGATAAGAAATTAAAACACACTGCACAATAAAGGAAGTTTAAACATTAGATCTCTCTTTACAGGAAGTGCTCAGGAAGACTGTGTAAATGACGTGTTACGGTTGCCTCCAGGCTGGCTGGAAGTTGGACCGTAGAAAGGATGCTCCTAGCGCTCACCAAAGGACCATCAGCACTGCAGACTCCACGAACCGCCGCTGCTGGGCTGGGATCTCGCCGTCTGCTATCCACCCTGGACCTACGACCAGGCTCCAGGTTCCAGTAGGTGAACCTCTTCCTTCTGTAGAGCGAAGCAGGATCAGGAACAAGAGCTCTTACAAGAACTCAGTAGCTAAGGGAGTATGAAGAGCATAGCAATCCCTGTAGTGATTGCTACAGGGATTGCTATGCTCTTCATACTACCTTAGCTACTGAGTTCTTGTAAGAGCTCTTGTTCCTGATCCTGCTTCGCTCTACAGAAGCTGTCCCCTACAAACATGAGTCGAGGCTGCAAGTTAGAGGGTCAAGTGGTTCTGTTTATTTGGCACCCAAGGGCCTTCTTTTATGGAGGTCTTACACATACAGGACCGCCTACAGGGTTTTGCAAAGCGACCAATAAACACGTAACATACAGTAAAAACACACCCATCAATAAAACACAAATCCTCCCTTCTGCCTGTGATATAATTACTGAACACAATGGGTTAAAGTAATTATCACAGGCAGGAAAAATACACTTTTTAAACATACACTGTAACTTGAAAAATATACGTCCAATCTTCATAAAACATACTTACATATTTAGAATCAGCATACTTTAAATATAAACATAACCAAAAATCACACAAATCCTTCCAGTGGATAAAAAGTTAGACGGAAGTCCTTTATGACCGACCGCAAGCACATTTTCCTGCCCAAAACAGTTCCATAGATTTGGGCTGTGTGGTCGGTCTGATTTAGCCAGAAAAATTACTAAGTCCCATTCGAATGCACGAACGAGGCCATTCGTGCATTTAGCTTAGTATAACAGTGAGTTCAAACTGCCGAACGGGACTTAGTCTCTGCGGCTTTAAATTTAGTGTAGGAGAAGGTAAGGGTCAGCGATGTTCGTTGAAATGTGTAGCCGATTTCAGTTTCATGAATTTGGCTACACATACCGCTGACCTCGTTTGAATGAACAAAGATGGCTGCCGCCACGTGTTGGTTTGCATGAACTGCGGCCTCCCAGCGGTCGGTAATTTACCTACAGCAGGCTCCCAGCCTGGGAGGTAAATTGCCTGCACACTTCCACTTCTGGGTGGTCCTCCTGTGTGGTACTTGGTTCAGTAAGCCCCATTTACTGAACCAAGTAGGAAAATGGTACAAACAAAGTATATTAGGAGACTGGGGACACAGTCTTAAAGGGGCATTGTTCCACAAAGTCTCAATATGTCCCCAGATGGTTCTTAAAGGGCCAGCAGCAGCACAATAAAAATCCATCATGCCCAAATACTGTTCTTAAAGGGCCGTACAGCTCAGGTCCATAGTCATGAGGAAGGAGGCTGGCAATTAGGCTTCTCCATAATACAGGGAAGCAGGGCAATTTGTCACTTAAAGAGACAGTTACGAAAGGCATTTTGTAACAACATGCAAGGGGGTGTGACTATGTCTGCATAAACAATGTGATTTAACTTCTAAGTGGCTTTTAAACATTTGTTGTATACCATTAAAGTATTGCCAACTGTGACAAGAGCAATCTCGCCACATTGCATTGGAGGAGCCTGGTTGCTCGCCTGTTGCCTTTGGATTATGGCCCCATGTTAAAAGGCTTGATTTTCCCCTGCAAAGACAAGAAAGCCGGGTCATTTGGTGCTTGCCCTGTTTGAGCAGTGATACCCCAGATAGCTATGCCATGGAGCCCATTCGTATAATGAAAGACTATGGGAAAGACTTTGGCTCCATGCCAATTGAACTGTATGTGTGTGCTCTGAGCGCCATTCAGTAATAATGTGCGCTCAGACCTAAGCTATCTGGGGATATGTTGCATGTCTGTATTTTATGTCATAAATGTAACCTGGTGTATTTTATTGTATCTTACTGTCTTTTTGCTGCCATGTGTTCAATGGAGTTTTGCCTCTGTCTTTGGAGATAATTGGATTACTTCTAATTATCTCCAGGATAGAAGACTCTGTGGAACTGGTTTTGGGCAGAAAATCCATGCTTCCTGTGGTCACAAAGGACTACGATCTATCTTTTGAACCACTGGACCAATTTGTATGATTTTGATGTATGTTTGTATTTGGAGTATGCTGATTCTAAAAATGTGAATGTGATGCATACTTTTCAAGTTATGAATAATGTGGAAAAATTGTATTTCTCTGCTTGTGCTTAATTACATTACCCATTGTGTAAGGTAATTGTATCACAGGCAGAGGGGAGGATTTTGTGTCGGAGTGTCTGAGTGTATTGTGCATGTTTATTGGTTGTGTTCCAAAACCCTGTGGGTGGTACTAATGTGTAAGAATGTGTACATAAGCACAATAAACCCACAGCTCTGTCTGTTCACTGCTTGACCCTCAACACGGAGCTTTGTCTCGTTCTTCGGGGGATTTATTGTATGCTGTTCCAGTTTGACTGCTAGGAATGTAAACCTATTCGTATGGTTTTTCCTATTCGGCTGTTTACAGCATTCATATGGTTTCCTGTTCGGCGGATTGGTGTTCTGCAGTAGCTGTGCCTGAATCTCTGGAAGGGGACGATCGCCTAAACGGTTTTTACCCCTTGTGTGCTGAAACGGTCCGTTACACCAACCAAACTCTATAACTTAATTATCAATAACTAGATGTACATGAAATATTGTTGAAATACATTCCCTAAAAAAATAACAGTAAAACAAACTGCATGTACAGAAAATGACAATGATAATCAATATGTGTAAATGGTAACTTTGTTACAGCAACAATGAGAATAACATGACAGAGGTAGAAAACATGATGCTGACTTCCTGCCAAGGTATGGCTGATTCTCTCTTCCAACTCCTATAGGAAAATTACAGAAACGAGTAACTAACCACTATTAAAGCAGAAATGGGTAAACAGAACTGCCAATGGCTGCCGGGTGGTAATCTTAATTTTCCCTTTCTTAAACAAACAAACAGACGTTATATTTTTCGAGGTCATTTTTTCTCCCATTCCTATCTCTGAATAGATAAACAAAGACGTGTTTGGGAGTTTAGACTGGAAACGCTGACTTTAAGTTAATAAATGTTTCTGCCTGTCTGGATTTGATAATCTGGGTCAGTCTCTTTACTGTGGTTTACATTACAAAGCCAAAAATGTTCAAGGTTCACCTTGAAATCAAATGAAGACCGGGATAATAATATTTGCCAAGAAAATGACCAGAATGAAAGAAAGAAAAGCCATTTAGTAGATGAATGGTCATGATCCAGATGTTAAATGATAAGATCAAGGACTAACCATATGGGAATCACCAGGACAGATTAGTCTATGTCATCGGGGTGCAGGTACATGAAAGAGAATCTCCTATTTCTAATAACTTCTGTCTAGTGTCATCTTTCATTGTCTTAGAACAATCCACTACAGATGTGTCTGCTCAGTGGTTTTCAGGAACTAATCACAATATGTCATAGCAGTATGTATGCTGCACGAGCAGGGTACAAAATGAATGTGGAGTGCTCCGTGTGACCGCTCGGTGTACACATTCCAACAGGGATGGACTGACAGTGTCCTGGGCCCCCTGGCAAAATTATGGCCTGGGCCCCCTGCAGACCGGTTTCTGTGTGTATATTCACTGTAAGTGAATAAATGTATGTCTTTGTGTTCCGTTTTAGAATATGTGGATTCAGAGTATATGTAAATAGATAAACATATACTACAGTCAAAACTAGGTGGGACACTAGTAATTTCCACCACTAAATCATTTTCGGAGTAATTGCAAGGGGGATAGTGGGTATAGGGGAGGGTTAGGGGCCGTAGTGGGTACAAAGGTAATAGGGGCTTTAATGAATACATGGGGTAATAGGGGCTGTAGTGGGAGCTGCGGGATGCGTAGTGGGCAGAGGTCCTATAATATACAGTGTGTATCGCTCAGTGCTGTCCTATAATATACAGTGTGTCTCACTCAGTGCTATCCTATGATATACAGCGTGTATCACTCAGTGCTGTCCTATGATATACAGCGTGTATCACTCAGTGCTGTCCTATGATATACAGCGTGTATCACTCAGTGCTGTCCTATGATATACAGTGTGTATCACTCAGTGCTATCCTATGATATACAGTGTATCACTTGGTGCTGTCCTATGATATACAGTGTGTATCACTCAGTGCTGTCCTATGATATACAGTGTATCACTTGGTGCTGTCCTATGATATACAGTGTGTGTCACTCAGTGCTGTCCTATGATATACAGCGTGTATCACTCAGTGCTGTCCTATGATATACAGCGTGTATCACTCAGTGCTGTCCTATGATATACAGTGTGTATCACTCAGTGCTGTCCTATGATATACAGTGTGTGTCACTCAGTGCTGTCCTATGATATACAGTGTGTCACTCAGTGCTGTCCTATGATATACAGTGTGTGTCACTCAGTGCTATCCTATGATATACAGTGTGTATCACTCAGTGCTGTCCTATGATATACAGTGTATCACTCAGTGCTGTCCTATGATATACAGTGTGTCACTCAGTGCTGCCCTATGATATACAGTGTGTGTCACTCAGTGCTGTCATATGATATACAGTGTGTCACTCAGTGCTCCCCTATGATATACAGTGTGTGTCACTCAGTGCTGCCCTATGATACACAGTGTGTCACTCAGTGCTGTCCTATGATATACAGTGTGTATCACTCAGTGCTGTCCTCTGATGATATACAGTGTGTATCACTCAGTGCTGTCATATGATATACAGTGTGTATCACTCAGTGCTGTCCTATGATATACAGTGTGTATCACTCAGTGCTGTCCTATGATATACAGTGTGTATCACTCAGTGCTGTGCTATGATATACAGTGTGTGTCACTCAGTGCTGTCCTATGATATACAGTGTGTGTCACTCAGTGCTGTGCTATGATATACAGTGTGTGTCACTCAGTGCTGCCCTATGATATACAGTGTGTGTCACTCAGTGCTATCCTATGATATACAGTGTGTGTCACTCAGTGCTGTCCTATGATATACAGTGTATCACTCAGTGCTGTCCTATGATATACAGTGTGTCACTCAGTGCTGCCCTATGATATACAGTGTGTGTCACTCAGTGCTGTCATATGATATACAGTGTATCACTCAGTGCTCCCCTATGATATACAGTGTGTGTCACTCAGTGCTGCCCTATGATACACAGTGTGTCACTCAGTGCTGTCCTATGATATACAGTGTGTATCACTCAGTGCTGCCCTATGATATACAGTGTGTATCA